TTAATGTAGCTAATCAGTGAACAACTCAGCTGTGACCACAGGTGTATTTTCATCTGCTGAAACCCTTGACTTTCTCTTTTCTCTATGTAACTACAGAGAATCCTTTCTGTATAATCTAGAGAAAATGTCATTTTAACGTTGAAACCTTCATTGTGGAATTTGGAAACCACGCAGCAGTTTAGAAGTCTGAAATTTAGAAAATAACACATTAACATTTAAATGAAGTTTTAAAATCACAGACTGCTGCTAAAGTTCAAAGCTGAGGATGTGATTTGTTTACAAAGGGCAGTTGCAGCTTCAAAGAGAGAGTCCTGGGCTTTTGAAACTCATAAAGTAAATCTTGCCGCCTATGCCAATCCAGTAAATGTAAATGAAAAGGGCTATGATGGGGAATCACAGGGGCTTCATAACAAGCTATGCAATGATTACCTGGAATGAGAGTGTCTGAAAAATGTCTCTTAGGTTTAGCTTACTCCTTCTTTCAAAATAACCTAATGTAATGCTCAGGTGACCTCAGTCAAATCTGAAACACTTGTCTTTGCATGAAGTAGCCATTATCCTTCCAGCAGCTAATGTCTCTGAAGAAGCATAGGAAATGATTCAGCCCTTGTTGCTGTCATATAGCAGGGAAGAAAGATGAACATTACAAACAGTATTTTATCCTGCTTTCCTAAAGATCACTTGGGTGCCTGCTTCTTTTCCTGGTGCTTCACACTGCAGGTGAGATCTATCAGCATGCCTAAAGGCAAAAGAAGACATGCAATAAATATGAGATGATAAAATCCCTGCTTTTCATAGAATCATAGAATAGTTAGGGTCGGAAAGCACCTTAAGATCATTTGTTTCCAACCCCCCCTGCCATAGGCAGGGACACCTTACACTAAAACATGTCATCCAAGGCTCCTTCAAGCCTGGCCTTGAACACTGCCAGGCATGGAGCATTCACAACTTCCTTGGGCAACCCATTCCACTGCCTCACCACCGTAACAGGAAAGAGCTTCTTCCTTATATCCAATCTAAACTTCCCCTGTTTAAGTTTTAACCCATTACCCCTTGTCCTACCACTGCAGTCCCTAATGAAGAGTCCCTCCCCAGCATCCCTATAGGCCCCCTTCAGATACTGGAAGGCTGCTATGAGGTCTCCACGCAGCCTTCTCTTCTCCAGGCTGAACAGCCCCGACTTTCTCAGCCTATCTTCATACAGGAGGTGCTCCAGTCCCCTGATCATTCTCGTGGCCTCCTCTGGACTTGTTCCAACAGTTCCATGTCCCTTTTATGTTGAGAACACCAGAACTGCAAACAAAACTCCAGGTGAGGTCTCACGAGAGCCGAGCAGAGGGGCAGGATCACCTCCTTCGACCTGCTGGTCACACTCCTTTTGATGCAGCCCAGGATACAGTTGGATTTCTTGGGCTGCAAGCACACACTGAAGCTGGCTCATGTTCATTTTCTCATCGACCAACACCCCAAGTCCTTCTCCTTGGGCTGCTCTGAGTCTCTTCTCTGCCCAACCTGTAGCTGTGTTTTCTTCTAAGAGAATTTAAAAAATAGCTTTTCTTCCTTTAAAAGCTGTGTTACAATTTATCCAATTAACGCTATGAAGACACTGCTTAAATGCAACAAAGTGAGCTGTCAGCCACTTGAAAAGAAAGAATGCGTTTTCTATTTATGGCCAAATGAGAGAAGATTGTGCTTACCCTCCAAAGGTCCACACACCTTTTATAATACAGAACTCCTAAAGAAATAATACATTTCTTAATGCAAAAAGTCCTATAGTGTTTAAGGCACATATTATTAACACCTGTGCTTTTTTTTAAAAATACACATAGGCAGTGATGTTTGGGGAAGAATAAAATAAACTTCCTTTTTTACCTTCATGACTCCAAATGTGCTTTTAATGAGAGATAAAAGAGGGTAAAATGTCATTTGTGTTACAGAACTGTTTACCCCTTTATCCCACTTCTGCCAATGTAAGTGATCATTTTATCCTAAATTTTGGAAAATAAGTTTAAAGGGTGGACTAGGAAATTTCAAGTAAGACTTTCCCTTTATGGGACAAAGTGAAGTTCTAAGATCAGACTTTCCAATGCAGCTGTTATGTCTCAATTTCTTGAATGCATCCCTCCTAAAGGCTCATAGTGGTTTTGCAAATGGATAAATAACAGTTTAATCAAACCCTGCTGAGTCTTTTATGACATAACTCTAAGGAGCTTGTATTCTTATGTATGGTATTTGTCCACATATACATGTAGCTGATATTTATTAGCTATCCTTATGTGTATGCTGCCACGATATCTAACCCCAGAGCAGCACTGCAAGCTGGGTCTTCCTTCACTCATACATATGGGCCATACAGGACCAGTGGGAATCACAGATCTCAAGAAGATTCAGGTTCCTTTGAATCATGAGGAACAAGGAGCCATACATTATGGAGCTGCCATTCTCTCTTCAGCTGCTTCAGCATGACCCATAAATGCTGAGGGTATGGAATGCTCTTGGAGTTTTAGTGAGAGCAGAGCCCAGGACCTCAGTGGAGCAAATCTAGGAAGCCAGAATTGAAAGCCATCGGAAGTGCTGGTTTCTTCTCCTTCCCTCGATCATGAAGAGGCCTTGTCTAAGCTAGGAATACTAACACTTGTAAGACATCAGGCCTATACTCTCTAGTTTGAATTTTCCATGGAGCCAAGAACAATACTGCATGTTTTAGCTTTGTGTTATTAAACTATAAGGCATCCCATTCAAGCTGCTTGTAAGAAACATCATCTCAGGGAAAACAAGGAAACAAAATACTCCCATTTTATTCTGATTGTTTCTAACATGTGTCACATTCGAATTTACTGTAAAATCCTTTTCTGGTTCCATGAAAATGAGCACGAGGGAGAATCCTCAGGCTGCAAAGAACATGGGATGAAAGCCTTCTTGTAACAAAGCCTTGGGACTCTGGGGTGGAGTAGGGACGACACAGAATGAAATTCATTGGTAGCACAACAAATTCTTTCAAATAACACCGGTTTTGATTGAAAGGTTTCAGTTAAATACATGCAATTTCTTTTTTTGTTTGTTTTTTTTTTTTCCATAGGAAAAGTTAAGTATGATGGCATGGGCTGTTCAACAAGCAAGTGTATCTTTTGGAACAATAGATGGAGAATGAAATGGAGCAGAAAATTCCAGGATCTGTATACTTTTCCCCAAAGAAATGGTACTTGAGGCCTTCTAATCCCTTCCATGTAATGAATTTGAAAGATGGTCTCTATATACGGGACACTGTCACGTTGGGTTTTGGTTTTCTTTTCCTTTTTAATTGCTCTTCACACAAACAAAATTGGAAAAAATATCTCCATATGCAGAATGTGCTTTAATACACATGACTTGAATGCCATAAAAATATATGATATACAGCAGAAAGGCCTGTTAGAGCCGTTGTATTCACTTTTTTTGCATTTCCAGCTGAAAACTGAGCATTGCAACCAGTGGCCTGAGTGTATCCAGAACGATTACCGCAGTAACTATTTTATAGCTCATGTATGCCAATTATATAATATACACTTAAATACTAAATATCTGCTTGAAACTAGCAGCAGAACAGGCTTTCATGGTGTTGCAATGACAGCCTATTTAAGATTAGTGCCACTTCAAGGCAAAGGGAAAAAAGCCCATAAAATCTTTTGATGCACTATGTTTAGTGATGTAATGTTGCTTGATATTCCTATTTCCTGCTGTGCTATTGTCTAAAACACTAGAATAAGACTGATTAACCCTTGCAGGAATCTAGCCCAAAGAACACTATATTCGCATTGATTCCAATGACAGCAATTAAAGCATGACAAAAAGGCTGCAGTTTGTTAAAGCCCGAATTGGGGTTTGCTATTTGAAAAGCATTGGGATCACCAGTGCTTACACTATTAAACTGTTATATTTACAATAAATACATGCAAACAAGTGGTTTGCTGTGAGGTTTTTCTCCTAAGGACAAAACCTCACTGTTCATTAGTTTGCAATTAAAAAACACAGCTGGCATCAACAGACCTCACTTATCACTGCTTATAATATCAGTTGTTATGCTTTTAGCTGGTTTTAATGCATGACTGTAGGTAAAAGGAAACCTCAGTAAGTTGACAGATGAGTAAAATTAGTTGGTTTGTGTTTCAGACATGAAATATGATTTTTAAAATGCTATTACTGTCAACAATTTTTCTTTGTTCTCCTAAAGAATGAATCTTCATATAGCAGTTTCAAGGCTTTATTCTGCAGCCATTAAACTATTTGGAGTTTTGACTGCTTAATGACATGAGATTAACTTGTTCTGTGAGAAGGCACCAACAGTATTCCATAAGACGTTCGCAACTATCCTCAAGGACTAAAGCTGTCAGGGTGAGCACAGAAATCTCTACAGCTAACGAATGTGACAATTCTACCTCCGTGACCGGGTCTGGTGGACCACACAGCAGGTCATATTCCTTGTGGTTTCCACCTCTAACTCCAGATGTTAAATTCAGAGTAGACACTTGTTGACAATGCATTTAGTGCAGTTCTTAGTCTAGAGTAAAATTATGCCACAAAAACATTTATAAAAACAGTTTAAAAAAATGGTTTTTGTCATTTTGTTTCTCACTACCGCTGGAGGTGTTACTAGCAAGATAATGAACAGGAATCAGTTAAGCGTTCTACAACTGACATCCACAGCAGTCTCATTTTATGCTTATTATAACTTGAGTCAAAATATTAATTATTATCATTATTATAGATCAGTTAAAACAGCAGTGTATCGATAGATGACTAAAAGTAGTCTTCCACATTTTCCATTAAATTTGCAAATACCTTTACATGCAAGAAATTCTTTAGATAACCAAAATCTTGTTACATATGCATTAAGAATTATGTACAATTTTCCGCAGCTGTTTATTCATTTGAAAATTCCCAGGCTTGTGCAGTTCTTTAAAAATACAATTGGGAACTAATAGTAATAATTTTTATCTAAATGTGTTCTTAAGTTTCGGTGGTTTTTTAATCGGGGCTCTGTTGTAAGAACAATTCTAGAATAGATTTATTTCTTGTAATAAACACAAAATACGACACTTTTTAATCAAGATAACTTTACATGCTTGAAAATGCTCCAGATTTTCTGGAAACAGACTTTGTCCCAAGGCCCTAGATTTATCTTTCTTCCTCCTTCTTCTGAAAGTGTTTGTATTTGATATACTGGTATAATTACTTTTATATAACAGAAATAGTGGTTATTTCCTCAAAGATGCGTAAATCTACACAAAGCTGATATGTTGTTCCTGAATATACTTTCAACTCATGTTATAACCATATTACCTATTAATATGTAGGTTACATATTAATGTTGTTACTTTTAGCTACAATACTTTTACTATCTACCACCAGCTTAAATTTCTCATGTCTTTCTTATCCTTATTCACAAAGTTTTCAGTTTTCATCAGGCTAATACTCTCTAAGTCCTAGGGTGCTGAACTTCAGAGTTTATCAGAAATTATCTGAAGAGCAAGAAAGCAGCTTAGAAGAATTACCATGTTTGTTACTTTGCTGTACTTTACACAGACTTTTGGCAAGCAAATAAAACATTAAAAATACTGTGGTTCGTCATTTTTCTGTATGTGTAGCAAAATAAGGGTGATGTTTCATGCATCTTTATGACTTCAGGATCAGTATATTGGCTAACAAATTTACACTACTACAGAAGTACTTTCCATAATAGCCAGGTCAGGAAACCTAAACTGGAATGTAATATCGACCTGAATTTCTCCATTTCCTATTTTAGTACCTGATGTGGATTTACCAGAAGCCCATCTCCTTTCCCATGAACAGCACTAGTAAGAATAATGTGCATTTCAGGTATAATTCTAAAATAACTTCACTGTGTGTATTTACACACAGATCCCTAATCTGATTTAGAGATAATACAAACCACACTGTGTAAACAACTATGATGCTGTGGAGTATAGCCCAGATTGGAATCTGCTCTATATGCTTACTATTACAATGTGTTACCAGAAAAAGAAGAAATTTGCTTTGAATTTGAACTGAGTTTCAAAAGAAAATGGGAAATTATTGCTGTGGTTTAAGCCCATCCAGAAACTAAGTGCTGACTTCCCCTCAGCCCTGCCCCAGTGGGATGGAGAGGAGAATATGCCTGTTTCAGATTCAAATTAACCATTTCCTAGAACACCATGGATTAGAGTGGGAATTGAGAAAATACTTTGTGTGCAAACACCTACACTGGAGATATCCCTACTCAGGCAAGGTAAATCCCTGTCTAGCTATCCAAAGTGAGGTGCTCGAACTCGCAATCAAAGCTCCTTCTAAAGTCAATGAAAGTAGGCCAGCACCTCCACAGAGCAACTAATTTCATCCCTGGATGTGTGTTTATCATGACAGATGGAAGGAAACATATACCCATTCTAAGGAACCTTGAAGGTTATCTTAGATTAGACTCCAACTGTAGATTTTATTCAAGATTAGATGTAGACATGTAAAGTGGGTATCTCATCTACCATTATAGTCAAAAGGCCTTTTTTTGGTATAGCATAATTTCAGATGATCTAGGATATCCTGCCTGGTGACTAGTTGCTACTCCAGATAATTACAAGTCATATGCCATAATTTCTAGCCAGTTGCAAATGCGTAAAGTGTGCATCAAATGACATTGGATGTATACATTAAGGTAAATAAATGGAGCACAATGAAAATTCAATCCTCTCTAAAAGAAGAATATTGTGTAAAGTAAATATGTAAGAAATCAACCATTTGTACTATATTATCTACCATAAAATTGACCACAAAAGGTGAACAACGTAAATACACTGTATTCCCAATCTCAGTGTATGTAAGCATGAAAAACCTGTGAGAAAAGGTTCTAATGCTAATTGCTTTTACACTAGTATTCTCTCCAATTTACAAGTTTGATTCAGAGATACTGCTACTGCCACCAGTACATGCACAAAAATGTGATGTTTGGTTTATGTGTGGAGAACATACTATCCATCTGCTTCATCCTCTTTGTTCAGATACAGGAGGGTGGAAAATATCCCTCCATAGCCTTGACGAGCTGCTGTGCCAGACAAATAGACAAGTATCTGATGTTGTATAAAGAATGTAAAAGTCCCACTGAAGCAAAAAAATGACTCATTCATACGTCTGGGAGTAGGATTCAGCTCCCAGAAGTCAAACGGCTTGTGCTCACCTGCTCCTTCAATTCTGAAGTACATTTTAAATTGATATCTTATACAAATCATGAGTTCAGAGCAATGTGCTTTATCAAGAAGGCAGTATTCCAGCCACAAAGTGCCATCCAAATGGAAAGCCCCCAAAAGTTACCAAAAATGAACAGAACATAACAAATACGTTCTTGGGGTTTCTCCATGACAAACTCTTGCATTGACTATTACATGTTTACAAGGTTTCAGTTTTCACATGGTCATTATTGTTTAAAGCAGGAGAAGGTTTGCTCTTCTGACCATCAGTTCCTCCTCTGGATGTGTCCTGGAAGAAAAGCCTTGGCACCCACAGTGACATTAAAATTCTTTTGTATTCATTCCGAAAATTTTGGTTAAGAAGTCCATATATTATTGCATTAAGGCAACTGTTAAAATAGGCCATGAAGTAGCTTATAATGAATAACCACTCAGGAACTTTTGGTGCCATTTCCATAGGATCGATGGCTACAGCCAGTCCAATGAAGTTTAGAGGTGCCCAGCAAAAGGCAAAAATCACAAAAACCACAAACATGGTAAGAAAGTTTCTGAAGTCACTTGGCTTCAGTCCTGGCTTTGTTTCTGACTTGACTCGTCTTCTCACTTGAAGCACTAAAACCCAGATTCGAAGATAGCAGAAGCTCACAATGGTGATAGGGACGATGAAGTGTATTACCACAACAGCTATGGTATAGTAGGAGCTTGCAGTCTGAACAAATGTGCATGAATAGATGCGTGGATCATACTTTAAAGAGCCAAGAAAAAAATTTGGCACAGTTGCAATTATTGTTAATACCCAGATTAAGGAGACGTACAGCATCGTGTTCCAACAGCTGTACACTTTGTCATAGGCAAAACTATGACATATATAGCAATATCGGTTTATTGCAATTGCAGTGATGTTGAAAATAGAGCCTATTACACTCAGTCCCATCACAAAGCCACTCACTTTACAGTGAATTTCACCCAACGTCCATCCATTGTGGAAAATAGCAAAGAGCACCAGTGGGTATGGATACAAGGCCACCACCAGATCAGCCAAAGCTAGGCTCACCACAAATGCATTACCTGGGGGAGAGAAAAATGCAGAGATGTAAGTCTGAAAGCAAGCATAGTTGTGAATGGGAAGAAAATGTGATATTTTATTTCAGGTAGCTGCAATGCTAAATTATTGATGATGTCAGCAAGCAACAGGTATATAGAACTAATAGGTCTCTATGGAAAGTAATTTTACAGTTCAGCTTAGAACACCCCATAAATGTCTGCAGCAACATGATGTCGGTGACCTAATTACAGCCTTCCTTTCTGTTTTAATCTTTAATAAACTAACCATCAGCAAGCCATTGTATAGGCACGTGTTGATATGCTTCAGTATAGCTAACTCCACAGCTGGATTGAATAAGGGGGAAAAGAAAACAAGTCTAAATTGTATCAGGTAGGCAAACCCTTATGCCATTATAACCTAGAATCCTAACAGGCTTGACAAGGGAAGGATATACAAAAATTAGGTCTATAGGGATTACAAGGATGTGTTGTTTTATGTATATTCTAAATTGCTACACAATAGTCTATATTATAGATATTTTCTGTATGAATGGCCTACCCGTATTGCAGTTATTATCCCACTGGATTCACTAAAGAAGGGTGAATTGCCTTCACCACTCTCTGTAGAAAGGCATATTTAATTATACAAAGCAAAAATGCATTCATGCAAGAGGAAGTATTTGAATTCATGGAAGGTGCCTTTAGAACCTTTGCAGTTGATGACATATAAAGAAACTTTACTGGTATGCTGGAGACTTATTGTCTCTCTTTAAACAGTGTCCTTCTCATCAGTCTGCAATTTCTGGGTATTGTACCTATGGATACTTTAATAAAATAGTAGGATTCCTGAAACATTAAATGTGAAATCACGCTTTAGGAACTTCCCAAGAGACAGAAAATAGAGGTACAAACTCTAGATTCTTAGCATTTTGTTAGCATAAAACACACTTCTGGTTTGCTTACTCATTTTTTTTTTCGCTTGAAATCCTTCACAGCATCAACAGATGTGCAAAATACCCAAGTCGCATTTAAAATCATGTGTGGAACATCATTATTTTCTGAACAGAGCAGTTAGATCCTCAGTTCTACAAATTTTGAGCTTTCTAGTCCTCATCTAGGAAAGCAGTTCCCATTTAAGTACAGATATAGTGCTGTGGATAAAGACATCATTAGCTGGGAGCCATAAAACAAACAACCATGTATGATTTGACTCCTCAAAAAATGACCCAAGTTCACCTCTATACTGTTGGCCCCTCCTGCTCTGCATCTGTGGCTTGGTTAACCTGAATTAAGGAATGGGGAGCTCATCTCCCGTTCATTTTAGGGGACGACCTAAGTGTTTGCACAACAGCTAGTGAACATCAGAACCTCACCAGGAAGTGTGATTGTCCATCTGTAGGTACAGAAACATGGCTTATCTCAAGAGCTGTGTACAACTTATTTTAGACAGTTCCTTGTAATATATTTATCAGCCTGTTTCACTCTTGTGCTACTTTAAAGGTCATACAAGTTTTTCATAGCTACAGTTTACTGACATGGTAGTGAATGTAAGTCAATTCCATGTTATTTGTCTTAGAAGCACAATGTAAGCCAATAGTACTATGCTGGGTTTTGTGCCCTCCCAGGCCACAATCACTCCCTGTTTTAGGGTTGAAGGGGCCTATTTGAGTGTGTTTTTAGAGCTACACAAAGAAATATTTCCTTCTGGTCTTATATGCCCTGTGCTGAATACAGTTCAGGAATGCCATGATGTTGTGAAAAAAAGTAAACATAATTTTCAGATGCAAAACAGCATATTTTCTACTCAGGATTTCTAAGGCATTAGAAAAGCATCTCCAGTTTGGGGTTTTGCACTTCAAGACAGCAGTAAACTTTGGTTAAATGTAACCTAGAGCAAAGCAAATATCTACCAGTTTCACGATCTGTGAGGACAGATTGAACAAATTAGGAAGACAACTGAGGGGAACATTCACCTTTTTCAATCATATTTGGAAATTTACTGCAAATGCATTTGGCAAAAGGATTTCAAAATTTTGAGTGTAATTGAGTACTTCTTGAAAATTCCAGCTGCAGTGAATAAGGACAGTTAGCAATGAACTTGTCAAAAAGCGTAAAATATCATTTTGCAACAGAAGAAGAATTGTGCAATATCTATAAAGGCCTCAAGCGATTTGTAACTTTTATGGCTTTTTCCAGAGTTGCATGTTCATATTGTGCACTGCAAAGTAAGGTCAAATGTTTTCTCCTTTCTACGTGGCTGACTGCAAAATGAAGTTTAATATTATATTACCACAATGAATAACCTACAAAAGTAGAGAGAAACTTTTCTAATTCGTATAAAATACATAAATACCATTTTAAGAAATAAAAGGTCTTTGATGTCTTGTAAGTGCTTGGAGAAAGGGGGTGTTCCTAGATACACCAGAGACACGGCATTTGAAGTGGCTATAATTACATCCATAAGATAACCAAAGAGGTAATTTTTTGTTGTCCGGGACAAAATAGAAACTACAGAACACTCATCTAGTTGGAATTATCATCATTATTTCCATAATTTACCTGATGGAATTTGTTCCTTGGTTTTGGTTTCATCAGACCGAGATTATATTCATTTATAGGAAACAAATATTCTTACTGGAATGAAAAGACCCCTTAATTACAAGTAGTAGCTACTAAAAGCAGGATATTTAGCCAGGAATTCAAAAGGACGCACAACTACACTGTTTTAAACATTGATAGTTTGATGCTTGAAAGAGAAAGTTGTGATATTGACTCTGGATGCAACAGAACTAGATCATTATTTCACAAAGCATTCTTGCACAACGGTTTGGTTACCCCAGTTAATAGAGAAAAAGGAACTTTCACACATTTTACGTTTCACATAATTTTGATATGACTTAATATTGTACAATTTTAACCACAGAACAATCTTTTTGGTAACTTCAGGACTTTTAATGGCTAGGCACCTGCTTTCTGAAAAGGCAATTGACTTCTAATATCTCTGCCAAACCCAGAATTAATTGAAATCACCAACCATTTTTTAAAGGCTTTGCTTCCTTCTTTAGTTTCAAACTGGCTAAAATGATTAATTATATATAATGGTGTTTTACTTTTTATTAGGTGGTGTTTTGGTTAGCACACATTAGTTTAACAAGTTATTATACCTTGCTTATAGGCATCACTCTCTTAACTATTTCCTCCTGGAAAGTCATGTTTGTCCTTGTGTACTCTTCTGCATACATTACTCTTGCTTTCTTTAGCATACAAAGGCCTAGCTTCAAGACAGGAAAATTATTTCTACTCAGCCTATTTTGCAGACTGTTGTATTTTTATATGCCCCCTCCTCCACTATAATGTGTTGGTAGATATTCTAAATAGCAAGGACTGATGACTCAGAATAGTTATTTTATTCTTCCATTTCTATATTCTAACCTTAAGGGAAACCATAAGGAGTTACGCTTGCAGATTTTTTAGTTCATTATGTCTTCAGTTGGAATATAAATGGCAAAGCTCCTTCTTTAGGCTTAAGGCTTAAAACTCCTCTAAAAATCAGTACTGTTTATGATTAAGTAGCCTTTTATACTGGCTCAGAATTATAAGAACTAGAGTTTTCTATGGTATCATTCTGAAAACTACCTGTAGATATCTGTATGAAAGGAAGAGGAGCAAGATCTTAACTTTAATGAAATGCCCTGAGAGTCTGTAAAATGAAGACAATAATTCCTCAGCACAGTTCACAGTAATAGACATCCTCAAGATGTGAGACTGACAGACTGCCCGTACACACTAGGTGTTTCTCTAGTGCTAGCTCACACTTCAGTCCTCTGCCAGACTCCTGTAGACCCTGTACTCAAAAGGAATTTAAAAAAGAGAATCCCAGAAGGCTTCTGGTAGCTTTCTTACTGTGTTTAATATATAAAGACAAAATCTGGGCTTAGCTTTAGACAGCCTTGTAGTCAAAGACACACAGTATCTCTTCAGGGATGCATGGTGTCACCCATTCTGTAAGGTACTTTTATGTAAATACTAAACATACAAAATACTTTTTTTTTTCTCTAGTTTTTCAAATGTTCACAAAATAAACAAGGAGGGTCTAATCTTTTAGCTCTTTCCTGCAATTTTTTAAAGGAAGGAAAAAAAGGTTTGCTGCCTCAATCATAATTCCAGATTTCTGTAAGTGATATGCCGCTTGCATCCAAAATGCTCCCTCAGGTGTGACATCACTTCTCTCTAATAAAGATAATCTTGATTCTGACACTAGGCTTGGTATGGAAGTTGCTGGCACCAGGCAGGCAGGCAGGCAGGACTAAGGACTGGTCAGGTTTTTGTTTCTCTTTCTAGAGTAGGTCAGTGAATATGGCTCACGTGGCACGCAGGAAGATGTGAGCTGCTCCTGGAGAAAGGCTGATGCTTCGTATTTCCTCAATACTAATTTTCGTCTCAGTTTTGACTTCTTTGGTAAGTATTGTTTTATGGTATTTAAGCTCTTGTGCTTCTTGATTTTTTGCTTAAACAGGTAACTTTTAAAACTGTTTGAAATCCCCTGTACCAACTCTTTCCCCTCACAATCCATCAGAAAAACTAAAACCTGCTAGCTCAATTCAGATGAAAATCCATTCATTTCAGCAGGAATGAAGCCATCAGAAATAGACACCTTCAGCAGGTGGAGCAGAGAATTGAGTCTTTCACACACTGACATTTGAATTCCCTGTGATACAAGCCAAGACCTAGGGTAATCTGGTTTACCGAGACACGATAATCTACTATAATGTTCAACAATGTGTTGCTAACAGAAGGTTTAACATAACGCCTCAAACAAGCGCCAGATGGGTTTGTGTTTTCTTTGAATATGACAATTTGAAAGTGGTGATATGCTCTTTTGTAGTTATGTTTCATGATTTCAGGTATTAGTAGGATATACTACAGATGCTGATGTAATGGAAAGAGACAGGCAATATGTTTTCACTACAACTGCAGTATTTTAGGTACTCTAGTAAAAAATAAAACAGACAATGAGCCAGGCT